TTGATCTCATCCTCCACACATTTATGTTGGTTATGTTTGCTGTGTCTCTTTCCACACTTCTGTGATATGTGTGTATATCATACATGTGAAATATCTATGAGGTACACAAAATATGTATTGTTTGATATGGCTATTGATTTCTTTATTAAATAAATGTTATCCTAATGTATGTATCATGTATCATTATTCAATCTGCATTTTTCATACACCAAAAAGACTTGGAGCTAAATTAATGTTGATGCCTGAAGATTTTTATCATTACTTTTAACTATTGCTTAATACTTCACAGTATGGTTACGCCATATTAAAATTAGCCACTCTACTGAGACTCAGTTTTCTCCTTGACAAATAATGCTGCAGGGAAAATGCATGTAACATGTGAGAGCATTTCCAAGATAGATATCTTAAAGTAAAGTTGCTGATTATTATGATATGGCATTTTTATTTTACTAATACCCGAGGCTGCCCTTCGGGTAGCACTGTCACCATATGCTCCCATGTGTATTCGTATGAATGCATCCATTTCTTCACAGATTGCCAAGACTAACCATCTCTAACAGTTTTTCTCCCTCTTAGGGAGCATCCTCCAGTAATTCTTTCCAAAAGGGGCTAAAAATTGTAAACTTTTGAGAGTCTGAATACACCCTTATTCCCACAGAGTCCTTTGGCCTCTATACAATTATAAGTTTAAGTTTAAAGGTTTTTTTTTTTTTTTCCATTTCTCACATTAAGGTACCCTCTATTTTCCTCTTATTTCTGGATGTGGGTAAGAAATCTAACGTTATGTGGGTCAGTGGTGCTATGGATAACCCCATGTGACTGTAGATCAGAAGAAACCTGATCTTATTCTGACTTTCATTCTTTTCTAGGTAATTTTTTGCTTCTGATAATTTTTAGGATTTTTTTCCTGATATGCTGAAGTGTCAGTACAAGGAGTACAGGTATAACTTTTATACTACATGTCCCACTTGGGGACTGGTAGATTCTTTCAGTCTGAGAATTCATTCTTTTTTTCCAACTCTTTGAAAATTGCAACCAATATTTCCTCAAAGACGCAGACAAACAGAGTGAGGGAATGAGCCCAGGTTGCCCAGATGTCAGGAGGAATGGGAAGGAGTGGTAAGCAATGGTGCCATGTACCTGGGTTCTTATAATAGGAACAAAGGAGGTGACAGTGACATAGAGGAATAATAGCATGAGTGGTAGAAGAGCAGAGGAGCCTGGAGGGAGGTGGAAAAGTAGTGTTCAAGAATGGTAGTGGGGGGTTAGAGAAGTCAGAACCCTGGCTTCTCCCTCATCAGATTCTTGCCTCCCCACAGTGGACTTCAGCTGACTGCCTGCTTCCTATGACCTCCTTTCTCCTGCCCTGGGGTTGGGTCTACTTGGCCATTTGGCTTACTATCTAGGAACCTCTGGGAGAGGGGAGACCATATGAGTAGATAGACCTATAATTGATATAATAGGACTTGTGTGAGTGAAGGTAAGGGAGGTGGGGATGGTATGTCACTTTGCTCAGGCTGCCATAACAAAATACCACAGACTGGGGATGCTTAAACAACATAAATTTGTACTCGCACAATTCTGGGGACTGGAAATCCAAGACAAAGGTTGGAAAATTAGGTTTCTTTGAAGGCTGTCTCCTTGGTCTGCAGATGCCCATTTTCTTCCTGTGTCTTCACGTGGTTTAGATATCGACAGCCCGCTTACAGGCACACTTAATCTCTGAACACCAGTATCTTCATCTGTAAAAAGACGTGACTATTACCCACAATGAAATATTTGGAAGTATCCAGCATATCCAAGTATATCTCACCAAGTCTAAGGTGCCATAATCAGAGCATGTGCCAGTATCTCATATGTACCAAAAATGGCATTACACGTACCTAGATTCATTGATTTGAATCTCCTGGGATAAAGCACAATCACATTTTAAAAACATTCCCACATCCTGAAAATCTGGTAAGCTCAGAAGTTGCAGCTTCCCGCATACTGTTCATCAATATGCCAAACAATCCATGTTTAATTCTAAGCTATGATCTTTGGAGCTCCTTATCAGTTTCTTAGATATTTGATAGGAAGCCTGGATTTCAGGCTTTGAAAAAAAATTGACCAAATTCTTTACATTTTCTGACACATTCATGGAGTTCCAGAAACTCTCACTCAGAGTTATAAAATAAATACTTTGGTAGAACATGTAAACCAAAATGTTCTAGTAGTGGAAAGGCTGTGTATTTACCTCCCTAGTACCTAGCTTTGTGGTACCTTTCCCTGACTATAACCCAAGGACAGGGAGCACACTTGTGTCCTTTCACACTTTTATGATTCTAAATGAAGAACTACTAGTTCCCTATATGCATGTTAAACCACTTTTGTCAAACATTTAGAAAGAAATCGAATCCTCTCATTATTTTTCTGCATATCTATGATTGAATTCTGAGTAATGACACTATTATGACCACAGAAATAGCTCCTCTCGCCTCCTTGACTCCCTTTAGAGGTCTAGAAATGCAATCCACCTACTTACCTTCACTATATCTCTCTCCATAATTTTCACACCCACATTTATATGCTCCATGAGCTCAAAGGAGCCCAGACCCCTGATTTTATAGTTGAATAAACTGATGCTTCCCCAAGAAATCAGTGACTTGCCTGAGGTCACACACAAGGTAACATGCAGAGATTGAGCAAATGCATTCCAATCCAATGGGAAACTGTCCTAAGTCACCCCCAGATCCTTCAGGAAGCCACAGCAGTCACTGTTTTCACGCAGATTCCTCTGAGCTTTGGCTGACTCCCAGGGAAGCACACATATCTGCTGTGTATTGGCAGAACTTTGGCTTAAAACATATTTCAAATGCCTCTCATTGAATGTTGGCAGCCTTGAAAAAACATGGCTAGGAAATTATTCTAGGAGGCCTAATTGCTCTGTGACACTTTCCAAGGTGAAGTTGATGGCATTCTTTCCCAAGCTCTTCTCCTTGCATCCAGAACCAGAATAAAAGGCATTTCCCAGTGTGTATCCTAAATCTGGGGAGGGCTAGCTTAGCAGCCTCTGGAATCATGGCTGTCTTCACTGGGCAGGGCTTTGTGCACAGTGCTGAGTGCATTTTGCCAAGTTCTTTCTCCTTTGGTTTCAAAACCCTTGTGTATTCCAAGAGAAATGTAGTCCATGTGTTTCTGATTCATTTACTCTTAAATCATTAAAATGTTGTTTTGTGAGAGTTATTTGATGTCTGAGGAGCCCAAGAGTCTTCCTAATGGGAATTTTAAAGGCTTTTCCTCTTATCCTGCCTGAAACAGGAAGCAAAATTTTGCTGAAACACTGCCTGAGTTCAAACACATCTTTTCATTTCATATTCTTGCACCTGCCTTATTGACCACACAGCCTCCTAATAATAATGCTCTCAGCAAGGCTGAAATTCAGACATGCTATAATGGGGAACTTGGAAAGAAACATGGGAAAAGAATTACAGTGACAGTGAAGCCACTGCTCCCCAAAATGTGCCAGGAGAGTGCTACCTAAGGGTGGAGAGTGTGTGCTTTTGCCACCTTGGTTCAAGTGTCAGGTAACCCTATGAACAACTCTAAAGCACTTCCACAAGTATAATCTCACTTAAGTCCCACACCAATCTCCAATTACAAACGAGGAAAAAGGATGAGAGATGTTAAGTATTATGCAAAATAGTAGAAAAGAAAGATTATAGCTAAAGTTTGACTGAGTCTCAAGCTTTTTCCAAAATGCTTCAAATTGAGTTTTCCTGTGGTACCTGTGTTTGAAATTTCATGTGCATTATGACATGTTAGTAGGAAGCAGTGCCAATTCTTCCTCAATTGCTATGCCAACCTGGATTTAAGAGGTTAAATTGCTTAACCTCTCTGGGAAGTTTCCTCATCTGGAAAATGGAGATAATGTTACTACCCTCTTACAAAAGCTGAAAAGATAATTGAAGAGAATTAATGTCAAGTGCTTACGTCACTTACCTGTCTTAAGTAACTGGCTGTAAGTGGTAGTAGCAGTAGGGAGTAATAAGTAAATAGCTAGATAATCTTGACAAGTTATATAATCTCTCCAAACCTCAATTTCTTCATTTGTAAAAGGAGTCTAATAGTGGGACCCTCAAAAGTTTGTGAAAGCAATTTAGATGACATTTGTGTCTAGCAGTGTCTAACACAGAAAAGATGCTCAGTAAAACCTATTTCTACACCCAGACATGTCTCTCCCTATTCAGTGTTCGTTGTCATCAGGGAGAGATCTTACTATCAGCTCAGCTTAAATCCAGTGTTAATTTTCTTCTCAAACTATGACACTGACATACATACAAGCTCAAGTCTTTTTAGACATAGAGGGTACCTGGCTTCTTGATGTGACGGGCCCTTTCTAGGCTGGATTGGACCTCTGCACACTCTGAGTTGGGATAAACAGTGCCACAAGCCTTGCTTTTAAGTAGGGAAGAACAACCTGCCAACTGCAGAACTCCACGCTCCCTCACAGTCCCAGCCAGCAGTTCTGCTCACAGGAAAACCTGCGGTTGCCCACAGACAGACTGAGGCTTTGCATCTTTTGTTCCTCCTAGCATAGACACTAGAACTGCCTTCTTGATTGTTTTTGTTTAAGTGGTGTTCTTTTGCTGGTGTCCTAAAGGAGAGCAAAAGGTTATAGCCATCAAGCAAATTAAACTTTACACACACACACACACACACACACACACACACACACACACACCTATCTGAGCATCTTAGTTTCCTCTGACACACACACACACACACACACACACACACACACACACACACACACACACACACACACACACACACACACACACACACCTATCTGAGCATCTTAGTTTCCTCTGAAGGGCTGTGTCCCTAAGGAGGGAACTAAAGAGCAGAGTAGATCTTCTAAAGATTCTGTTCTGTCAGGTCCCCTCTGAACATGTGGAAGAGCAGTTAGTGGAGGGAGAGAGAGAGAAAGAGAGAGAGAGAGAGAGAAAGAGAGAGAGAGAGAAAGAGAGAGAGAGAGAGAGAGAGAGAGAGAGAGAGAGAGAGGCGGAGAGGGGGAGAGGGGGATCTGTTGCAGGCAGGGGAAGGCGTGACCTGAATGGAGAATGCCAGCCAATTCCAGAGACACACAGGGACCTCAGAACAAAGATAAGGCATCGCTGACACCACACCGGGGAGCTAACAGACAAGTCTGGCAGAGAGGACCAAAGCCAGGCAGCCAGGAGAAGGCAAGGCAGGAAAATGAGGTGAGTGCCAGGGCAGGAGAGGACAGTATGCCCTCCGGGGGACCAGGTGTCAAGCTAGAGGGTCTGACCTTGTTTCTGGGCATACTCACCTGCATGTCCTGTGGGTGGCTGGCGCGGGGGCGGGGTGTCGGTTCTCATGGACCCTTGGGCAGAGCTGTGGAGACTCAGGGCGTCTTCCCTGAGACCGCGGAGACAAGCAACTTGAAACGGGAGAGTTTGTGCAAATCCTGCTCCAAGGCTGCTGGCCGGCGTGCGGGCGGGCCGGCGCTGTTGAAGCTTGTTTCTCGCTCTGCCAGCGCAGGGTACTGCCTCCTGGCCAATGTGACCCTCCTCCTCTTGCCCACAAGGCTGATTTTTCATTTTCCTCCTTAACAATGAGCTCTGATTTCTCACTCCCAACACTTAGAGAGTTAGATATGGTTTGTGTGTTTATTTGTTCTGACCGGAAAAGAAATCAGCTCCCACAGCCCAGCTTTGTGGTTTCTTAAACCTTCAGAACTTTGCTCGTTCAACCTCAATTTAGAAAACTAAAAACCTGTCCCCATTTTACAGTTCCCTATAAATTCTACATTTCTCACTGAAATCAGAGGCAGCTGGTGACATGAATCAGGCTAGGAATTGCACCAAATGGCTCTTAAAGGGATACCACAATTTTCAAGGAGCATTTGAAATTCTGAAAACTAGGACTTAAAATTCTAATTGGCGTGAAGCTCTTCACCCTTTCTTTTTCCTCATCTTCCTTGATGCCTTCTTAACCAGACTTTCCTTACATGTTTTTTTTCCTGCATTTCTGAAAACCCCACCACTTTAATTATTTTTATAACTAGTGTTAATGGTGCTAGAAACACACAAAGGTGAAAACACTGCAGATGTGTTAAGTGTGTTAACACCTCTTTTCTCATTAATTTCCCTTTACATTGGGAGTGCTTCTATTTGTTTCTCGTCTGCAAAGTCACCTAGCAACTTTGCTGAATTTGGGGGCAGTAAGGGGCTTCCAGCTGTGTATAACTTTGGACTCCAATTACCTGCTATTCAAAGGGATATCCAAATCCCTGAAAAGTTAATTCAATCATTCTGTTCTTTTAAATTCCTTGTCTTTGTTGTTGTTACTTATTTGTTTTTTGGGACAGGGTCTCAGCACCTGAGTGCTGGGATCAGAGTTGTACAATACCATACCTGGCTTCACTGTCATTTTAAATGTGCCATCAAACTTCATTTTTCTTTCTTCTGGGAAAAAAAAAAAGGCATTTATGCTCATTTACATAGAATGCTAATATGTCTTACCTGTCTGGGAACTGAATCTCACCCTACCATTCAATGCCCCAGCCATACCAAAGTGCAGTAACAGTCCTGGATCTTTGCATATGGTTGTCCCCCAACTTGGAGCAACCCTCCCACACACTTTCTGCCTACAAGACCTGATTGTTCAAGTAGGCTTGACTATCACTTCCTTTTCCCTGATTATCATGTCCAAAAGATAGTATCTCCTCCTTTGTTCTGTTCTGTCCTTTGAAGTCAATCTCTTACTGTCTTTGGAACACCTCCTTAATGTCTGTTTCCTGCTAGGAATTCAATAAATATTGGTTGAGTTGCATTCAAATGCTGAATAGCAAAGCAACTACTAGGAAAGTCTCTAAAGGATCTGGCCTCACCTGCATACAGCACTTCAGAGTTTGCAAAGCACTTTCATGGCCATTGTCTCATGGAGTCTTCAAATTTGGAGTGAAGTAGTGGTTGATGAATAGATGAGGATAAAAGCAATTGGGAGTCTTACCCAGAGCAATACTGATGATCTTGAAAAGGCTCAGCCTCAAACTTGGGTCTGTGGGCTCCAAGGTCAGCATTTTTTCAACTATATTCCAGTTAATTCTCAATCTCAACGCAAATTAGAATGGTCTGTGGAGCTGTAGAAAATGCTGATGCCCACGATTCGCCCTAGACCAATTAAACCAGAATCTTCTGAGGAGGGCTCAGGCATTAGTATTTTTAAATTTCCACACAAAGCCATGGGTTTTTGAATTATTTTTCACAGGATTAATTGCTTTGGCCAGATGCCTGGGCATGATATGGGCACAGACCCAACTTCTTCTGTGCGCTTTTGATATTCCTTTCTTCTGTTGAAGTTAACTCGCCATATGGTATTGGGCATGATGGGACATCTCTTGAGGTATCCTTTTCATCATCTGTCAAATGAGTGTGGCATGTACAGGAGCTGTACACACCCTTCCAACGCAGACTCAAAAATGGAGTCTTGGCGTTGTGTATGTTGAAATGAGGAAAGTGAATGGAGAGGTTAGAAAGTGCTATGTATTCCACGGTCGTAGATTCAGTGGGCTTTCTTTTGCATCCCTGATACACTGATCCTAGGGGCCTATGACATCCCAGTTCCCTATATTACTTTTGACATTTCAAGCAAAAGTAGCTCAACTTTTTGATTAACTGGAGGATAGATAACAAGTGTCAGGAATTGTACAGCCTGTGCCTGGAGTACAAAAAGGCAAAACATTCAGAGAGAGTGATGAGGAGTGAAAGCTGCCACTGACATTCTTTAATTCATAGCCCCTAAGGCAAGCAGGCAAGCATATGCTCAAACCCATTACGTGAATGGAGATATTTGCTTCATATGCTTGAAACTGTCTCAAGATGCAGAGGAGAACAGAATGCTTCACAGGCCTTCCTCCCACGCTGACCAGTTGCCTACCACACATGGCACTGGGCCCCTGGGCTAGACGGGCCAGTCAGCTGCCAGCCCTTGACAGAACTGGCCTGAAGAGGCTCTGTCTCCTTCATGTGATCTGAAAAAAGCAGACATGAGGAAAGTCGACCTTTCAGCCTTACATAATCCGGTTGCCGCTATTGCAGGGAAGTCCTGTTTGGGAGCCAAAGCTCATGCTTGACTCCTGTTTTTCGGGAAGCAGCATGACGGAGTCATCATAACTAATGTTTGTCTATGGCTGGACACTTAACAAAAACACTTTCCAATGCTCCTGGGGGCAGTAGCCCTGGGGGAAGTCGTTATTTTAAGATGAGGAAACAGAGACCTTCCCTGACATCCTTAAAATAGGTAGGATAAATAAAGTCAAGGCCTGGAGTTGAATCTGGCTGCACCTGATCTCCCAGCCGAGGTAATATCAGTTCATCTCCTCACTTGGAAATGGGGGTACTTGAGCCCTATAATTTAGAGTTTCTGCACTCAGCTTTCCTATAATTTACTAGATAACTTGGACCCATGCCTTCCTTCTCTCTGCCTTTAAAGCCCTTCCGTCACAGACTGTTTTAGGAAAATACTGACATTGACTATTGGATTAAAGCGTTTTGTTTTCTTAATAACATCCCACATATTGTTATTGTAGGCCCATTGGGGAAAATTTAAATAAGTTTATTTTCTTTTTAGTTAAAAATTATCCATGGTCCTTCTAGACCAGTGTGAACATTTTATACACACAAAACTTAAATGTACGTTCATATTACCATCCCACAGACAACTGCTGTTAGTGCCTTGATGTATATCCTTCTAGATCTTTTTATACTTGCCTATTTACCTTTTTCAAAAAATTACATGAAATAGATAATTTAGTCATGTATTCTGCTGTATTTATATATGCAAAAATTCATATATATGTATATATATACACATACATATATGCATCTGAAAACATGGGAGGAGATATTGGCAGGAAAACAACTTCCTAATTAGTAAAGATATAACTGTTAGACCCACCATCCTGGTATAGTTTTCCAGCATTGACTTTTTAGGCTGTCTAAGACTCTGGCCCCACTTTCTTCTTTTGTGCATCCATTCATCATCTATTATATATCAGACTCTATACTAATTCCTTTAAATATATTATCTCTAATGCTCATACAATCCCTGTAAATTAAGAATTATAATCCCCATTTTATATATAAGGAGACTGTTGCTCAAAGAAGCTAGTTGCTCAAGTTTTCACAGCCAGTTGAAAGAACAAGGAATTGAACTCAGGTACCTGTAACTTTAGGCTATGCCTAAAGCATTGCAGCATGACAGCTACTCTGTGCCGCACAGTGGAGCAGAATGGTCACATCTGTGTTTTAGAAAGACAACTTTGGCAGAAGATTGTGGTATGGTATGAAGTGGGAAATGGGGGCGGTAGATTAGTTGGGATGTTATAGCGATAGTCCAGGTAAGAGGGCTTAAGTTAAGTAATTGTCTGGAGAGGAGAAGAGGTGGATTTCCAAAACACAGGAAGCAGAATGAGTAGGACTTGGTGACTACTACACGTTGTACAAAAGGAAAGAGGAATGGTAAAATTTCAGGCATCAAAACTGATAAATCAGAAATGATAGAGGAACTTATTAGGAAAGAAGTTGATGAACTGAGTTTGGGATGTTTGAGTTCAAGGTCCCTGGGTCTTACAGGGAAAGTGGTGTGTACTGACTTTGGCCAGCATTGGTTATTGTGCCTCATTATTGCATCATCAACCTTTGGTGTGTTCCATAAGTTTTATTGAGCTTTCCTTGACCCATTTTGCAATTCTTTGAACATTCCATTACCTCTCATTCCTGCAGAAAAGAATAATAGGATTTTGACCTTTGTCTTAGAACACTTACAAAAAGGAAGAAGAGTCATTTTGCTCATGCTATCTTTATTCAAGATGTTGTGTGCCCCAACAAATTTTGAGGTAGAAATACTTCTTTCAATGTTAAATTTGTTAAAGGTCTACAGATTTCATTGCTGAGTATAAGTCTCATCCTAATATTACCATGTTATTTTTACTTATGTCTTAGAAAAATGCATAAGGAATTTATGCATAAATGAAGTTTTACTGAAGAAATGATACCAACTTTTACCTAATTATGAATGCTACATTTTTAGTAGTAAAAGAATATGTGTCAGAGTCCCAAATGTGATTACTTTCTGAAAAAGTTTAACACTCTTATCAAATATTCCAAAGTGCAAAACTGAGAGAGAAAAGAAAGCCATCTAGCTGTTTCCTCCCTTATTACAGACTGAGTAAGCAGAGCGGGAAAGTAATTGCAGCAGGGATATGCTAAGAACTTCGTCTCCTAACTACTAATTTAGTACAATGTTGGGGACCTGTGTCTGTGCATGTAAGTAGGACCACATTCATGTCTTTCAGGTGGCTCCTTTTCTACTATGCCCTGTGCCTTTCCCTGTTGAAGTCTTCAGCCCACACTGTGGAACTAAATGATATGTTTGGCCAGATTCAGTCACCTGGCTATCCAGACTCCTATCCAAGTGACTCAGAGGTGACTTGGAATATCACTGTCCCAGAAGGGTTTCGGATCAAGCTTTACTTCATGCACTTCAACTTGGAATCCTCCTACCTTTGTGAATACGACTACGTGAAGGTGAGACACCCCCCTCCCCCGCCAATGTTCCCTGACTGGGCCAGGCTCTCTGCTGGAGGCTAAAGAAGTCTAGATGGATTAGACACTGTCCTTACCCTCCTTGCAGGGTTGCATCTAGAGAGGGAGGACACACAGGTGACAGTGCGATGAATAAAAGCCAGAGGGCAGTATGCTCTGTTCAAGGTGAAGTAGAAAAGACCAACGACTGGTGGGATATGACTTGGCCAAACACATTTTTTTCTTTTTTGTTCTCCAAGACTGTAATAGTTCCACTAACCTCTGCTCTGCAACAAGGTCCCAATCAGAAAAGAGCAGAGACCCTAGATTAAGCAGTAGTCATACAGAAACAAGGCCATAATTATATCCAAAGCTGAGGTATTAGAAATCATTGCCAAAATTTCCCAAATAATGATTAAATGTTTGGGAAGGGTAAGCTATGGAGTAGTCAACAGTAGGAGGTGAGCTTGGATGGGAGGGTTAAGGTGAGATTCTGAAGATCGTGGAATGGTCTGCTATGGTGTTTGCATTTATCAGCAAAGGGCATAGACAGGAAGGAAAGTCAGTATTAGAAGGGTGTATAAGAAACTTATTTGGGGAGTGCAGCAGAGTATCCTAACATATAAACAATATTCCCTGGAATTGCTGTACATGAGAAGTTCCCATTTTAAGGTGGGATTGAGAAGAATCAAAATATTTTGAGAGATCAAATCTATTAACTGTATCTACTTCAAAAGATATGGAAACCAAAGAACCTACTTACTAAGCTCTCTGTGGCTTCCTGGAAAAGGTTCAAATCAACTAACATTAGAGTCAGCTTTGTGTATTTTTAGCATTATTGTAGTCTTATTTTCCCACAGCTAGTAATTCCACGAGCGTTAACCTTGTATTAACTGGAAAATTTGATCAACAGCAACGTAGTGAGTTTACTAGGTGATTTTACACTACAATCTCATTCAAACCTTACAATAATACAATGAGACAGCATTACTATCCCATTTCACAACAAAGAAACCAATTCAGGGAGGTTAAATAACTCACCCAGGTTGTACATATGGTAGGCAGAAGATCAATGTCCCAAGCCCATCTTGTGGCTTTGAATCCCATGCTCTTTTAGCCACACCAAACAGCTCACCAGGATACTACAGGAGCTTATAGGGTCACAGGAGTGGGGGAAGGCCTGCTAAGATGGGCTGTTGACCCCTTCCTTGCTTCAGCTCATTTTATGTGTAGGGTGTTGCCATTGAATCTGTTGGGTTCACATGAAGTGGTCCATGATGCTCTGTGTCACAGTCATCAATCAGCACTATTGACCATTTGAGCCACATAGTTCTTTCTGAGGAAAGCCATCTTCAGCACTAAGCATTTTCAGCAGCATCCCTAAGCTTCTCCTTAGATATCAGTGGCAGTTGTCTTCTTACTGTGACAACCAAAACTGTCTCCAGATGTTGTCAGTGTCTCAGAGCCACTACCGATTGGGGTGCTTCCCTTCTTCAAATTCCCTTGCTAGACTGTGGGACTATTAGAATGCAAAAGATCTGGTTCACTGCAGAGAAATGAGCCTAGAAAACATGAGCTCTGGGCATTGCAAAAACAGTCTACTTGAGGCAACTCACAGACTGAGCTGCCTACCTGAAATGCCCTATTGCATCTGTGAATCAGACACATTTTTGTGATTTCTTTGGAAAAGGGGATTCATTTGAGGGAGGAAGCTTGTTAGTTGCCTCTCTTCTAGAATTCCTGCCTAGCCTTAGCACTAGCCACCCTGTATAGCCATGGAACGTGAGCAGGCCTCCCCTTGCAGGTTGTTGCATCCTTATCACTTGGCACTCACATGGAGACAGGGCCCTTTGCCCTTGTGTACACATGCCCAGCAGAGTTTCCCTTCAAAAGTCATAAACTCACAGAATATCAAGATGCAGGCCCTCTGGAGACTCATCTAGTTCAAGTTCATGGGATTATTCAATTTTTTTTTAAAGTAATTTCTCCCAAGTGAACCCATTGTTCTAACAACCTTTCAAGTAGGCCCAATATAGAAAACCGAAATGCCACTGCACAGGTAAGGTGACCTGAAGGTCACTCTACCTGCTCATCCTCCTTAGTCATGCTGCAGCACCTTGATGCATGATGACTTGAATTGTGTTACTCTGTTCAAGTTTCCACTGAATGGAAGAAGAGACTCAAGGTCAGAGTTCAAGAAGAGGACGAGCATGCTACCTCTGAACTCTCAAACCCAGAACTTGACACACAGAGTTGAATCCTGTTCACTTTTTTTTAGTTGCCTTCCCAATCTCAGTCCCCAGAATATGTGCTTTTCATTACTTTGAGTAAGAGAGAAGCTCTTTTCTTTCCATCTAAATAAAAGCAAAAGCATGCCATGTGACTCCAGGGTAAGAAAACATCACTCTCCAGTATTTTGTTTTTTTCATCTGTTCAATAAGAAGGTGGATGAGATAATCCCCTAAAGTACCTTAAATTCCAGAATTCTAATCCAAATCCTCCTTTCCATAATTTCCCAGATGACCCCACCAAAACTTCATTGCAGACAATGGTAGTAGTATGTATATAATAGCCAATTCTCAAAGTTCTGAGGTGGTAAGCACTCCAATTAGAGTTACAGTCTGCTGAGGCCTCGCTTTGGCAGGATAGCATCCCTGCTTTGAGGAAATTTTACTCTGTGAGTAAATTTCTTGGCAACCAAGGAGTTCTTTGATAGGATCTCCCAGCTCGCATGAACCCTTTCCACCCCCATGCAAGCCTACAAAACTGCCCTTCTCATCCAGGCCCATCAGGCTACTAGGAGGAAACTGCTGACACTATGCATCAGTAACTGGAAAAAGAGCAGGACCCCCAGACTGTGATCTGGATACTCACATTTATGAGAATTCCTCTCCAGCCTGACTTCCCTTGGTCTTCAAGGCACGTGTACATCTGCCCAGCAGCATCTGTTCCTTTGGAATGTGGCTGCAATTGTGGATTCCCACAGTGCACAGATGAGGCATATGAATACTGACTGGACGGAGCTACAGGCCAAGGACAGAGCACAGATGCTGTTGGGGAGTTGGGACCCTAATCTCTGGTTGTTATATACTAACAAACCTTACACGAGTGGTTACTTATAGAGGGATCTTGGTTTCTTCTGACAAATATAGGGAGTTGAACTCGATGGTCTATAAGATACACCTAACCCTAATGTTTTAAGACCTTAGAAATAAAGGTCTACTTCCACCATCATGTCAAAAGACCAGGGAAGGTCAATTCATTGGTAAATATCATGCTTGGACCAGAATTTACATCTCAAGACTCTTCATCTTTTCTTCTTTTAAGTTAATTAAACTGTAGTGGAGTCCTATCTTGTGAAAGCTTACATTTTAAGTTGTAATGTAAGGCAAATATTGCCTGTAGTAAAACTCTTTAAAATCTCTTAAAGCCAGGCACAGTGGCACAGGCCTGCAATCCCAGCACTTGGGAGGCTGAAGCAGGAAGATCACGAGTTCAAAGTCAGCCTGTGTGGCCTGATCTCAAAAAATACAAAACAAAATCTCTTAAATATAGTAATTATTTTTAATATGGCCAGAAAAGACATCATTTTTCCAGAAATGGAACAAATTATACTTCCTTTATTTGAGCACCTGATGAAGGTGTTGACTTAGGAAGGAATCACTGGGGCAACAGTTATGGAAAGAAATATAATCACTTAGAAATCAGAAACCTCAAGAGAAAAGCAGATTCGCAACTCCCATTTTGAGGTTCACTTCATGGCATCTGTTCATTGAAAAAGGAGACATTAATCACCTGCATTATTTTTTATTCTCTCATTGTCTGTAAAAGTTCATTTGGCAACTGTTGTGTTCATATGATGCAATGCCACTGTTCTCTTATTAACCCTACATCCCTGATATATGCAACATTTCTTCCATCATTTCCTACCCGATATCAGTTTCTCCTCATTAGTCTACCCTCTTCATATATCCAGAGGGACCTTCTTAAAACATTACTCTGTTGGACTCACAAAATCTTTCAATGGTCACCCACCTTCTATCCAATTAAGTCCAAGAGATCTATTGAAAACCTGTTGTAAGCAAAACACTATACCAAAACTGGTCAACAAAGATGAGTGAGATAGTAGTGTCTTTCAGGAACTCACAAATTTAACATATGTAATGAGGTAATTGCTTAATTAGTAAATTAAAGATAAAGTAATACAAGGGCATAAGATAACCTATGTTTGGGAGTAGTCATTTCTGCATGGTCAAGAAAGGCCTCAAAAAACAGCTGATGTATGGGATAGGTCTTAAAGGATAAATAGGAATTCAACTGTTCAGTTCCTTAAGTGGGATGTCTCAGAAGAGATATCATTACATGGATGTTGAAAAGGATGAAATGATGCAGGCAGAAGATAGTCAGGGCTGGCATGTTTTAGGGATATATAAGAGAAAAGCCAAGAATAATCATCTAGGGAGTAACTGAGAAATTTGGGTTTAAGCATGTGTACCCAAAGTCACAAACAAGTGGTCATCAGGTTGAATTAATTTTATAGATGTATTTTGTTGAGTAGCCTAGTAGTAGCTAACTGTATGTTTTGAAAAAATAATAACAAAAACAAAATCAAAAATTGAATTAACATCAACATAAAATTTCTGAACCCACACAAATGTCTACTTTTCTAAATTCCCTTAGAAAATCTGACAACTCTGACAGCTTCCTTTATGCCAACAATCAGCTGATAGAGGTGGCCCTATAAATGGGGTCCCCTCTATTCTTTGCAGTTCTTGCATGCTAAAACTTGCTTTCTTACAGTAAAGAACATGAAATGCCACCCCCCCATGCTTCTGTTAAAAGTAGGAAAAATAAAAGTGCCCAAGAAGGACACTTATTTCAAGAAAAATCAGTTGAAAAAATTCTTTGTGAAGTGGAGATTATCCCTCTGTATTTAATATGCAAAGTACATTTCTCTCTAAAGATAACAAAGCAGCTTGTTTCACTCCTTTGTTCTTTCTGCC